TGCAGGGTGTGAGACGTTGGCAGTGACGGGTTGTGTGCAGGGTGTGAGACGTTGGCAGTGACGGGTTGTGTGCAGGGTGTGAGACGTTGGCGGTGGCGGGGTGGGTGCAGGGTGTGGGACGTTGGCAGTGGCGGAGTGGGTGCAGGGTGTGGGACGTTGGCAGTGGCGGGGTGGATGCAGGGTGTGGGACGTTGGCAGTGGCGGGGTGGGTGCAGGGTGTGGGACGTTGACAGTGGCGGGGTGGGTGCAGGGTGTAGGATGACAGCATGACGTTGGCAGTGACGGGGTGGGTGCAGAATGTGGGACGTTGGCAGTGACGGGTTAGGTGCGGGGTGTGGGACGTTGGCAGTGACGGGTTAGGTGCAGGGTGTGGGACGTTGGCAGTGATGGGGTGGGTGCAGGGTGTGGGACGTTGGCAGTGGCGGGGGTGGGTGCAGGGTGTGGGACGTTGACAGTGGCGGGGTGGATGCAGGGTGTGGGACGTTGGCAGTGGCGGGGTGGGTGCAGGGTGTGGGACGTTGACAGTGGCGGGGTGGGTGCAGGGTGTAGGATGACAGCATGGCGTTGGCAGTGACGGGGTGGGTGCAGAATGTGGGACGTTGGCAGTGACGGGTTAGGTGCAGGGTGTGGGACGTTGGCAGTGACGGGTTAGGTGCAGGGTGTGGGACGTTGGCAGTGATGGGGTGGGTGCAGGGTGTAGAATGGCAGCGCGGCACTGACAATGACGGCTTGGATGCAGGGTGTGGGACGTTGGCAGGAACGGGGTGGGTGCAGGGTGTGGGACGGTGATTGGAACTCTGGGATGGTTCAGGGAGGTGGTTTTGCCATAGAGTACCGAGGGATCTATGCTTTATTCCGGTTGCATCGGTTGACAGAGCGCCGGACACTGGCTGATGTGTGGCGGCCACATGGCATCGCCTGGCAGCAAACATGGCTCGGCATTGGCGGTCATTTGGCTCTCTTAAGACCAACCATCCCTGCACAGCAATGGATCAAATCCAATCTGTGTTGGAAGATGCTGAAACAACAACTGTCTAGGAGTTCAGTGTGACGAACATTTGGTATATTCCGATACAGGAAGACGGCTCAGCGCTCACGACGGTTGTGCCGAAATACGAAGGCCTCTAAATATACAATAAAACTCGATGTAAAGCTGCTGTTCGCTGTTCAGCAGGGATTACGGCGCTCGCAGATCAGCAGGGGGTGCAACGGTCGCAGATCAGTAGGGGGTGCGACGCTCGCAGATCAGCAGGGGGTGCGACGGTCGCAGATCAGTAGGGGGTGCGACGCTCACAGATCAGCAGGGGTGCGACGCTCGCAGATCAGCAGGTCGGTGCGATGGTCGCAGATCAGCAGAGCGGTGCGACGTCCCGGTGCGTTGGACTGTTGCGGTCGGCCGCTCTGTCGACCGCTCGGGCGCGCTGTGGGCTGGCCTGCACCTGGCGGAAAGCGGTCAGTGTGAGAACAACATGACATAGTTCACGTGCGTGGGTGTTGGAGGCCGCCTTACGTTGGTGCTGGTGCCCTGCGGGCCATATTGGTCTCCCGATTGGCACTGTCGCCAATTTCCGGCCATGGGGAAGACGGAAAAGTGGGCACATAGGCGCGACTGGGAAAGGAAATTCAGACAGGTTTGGACACAAGCTGCATGCGGGGTGAAAACCGGACGAGGTAACGTTAGCGTGCGTAGTTCAGACGCGACCTGCGTTGCCTTCTGACCACAACGCCTGTAATCATTCCTGTTTATACTGTCTCCAATTGCTAGGTTTACTTGTGAAGGGGAACGGTGGTTTCCAAGCACTCAAAATACTGGAGTGCAAAACTCCGAGGCGCTTATCAAAGCATCGGTCACCCCGGACATGCCGTTCCAACAACAAACGAGTGACGGAGTGTTGTTCATCAAGCGGAGACCTCCCCAGCGGGCGCAGCCTCTGGAAGCGTGCAACACGACCCACCCGGGATAATTCAATCCTTCCCTCTGAAAGCCGGGGCAGCGGTCTTTTTTTTGTTATTTTCCTAAAGCTGGGAGCACATCGAAAGCGGGGAGCGTGTGTCGGTTTAGCGACCGACCGACCTTACGACCGTTCCTGGACAGCTGGGACGCGAGATGGGGCGTAATCCGGCGGCGGCCGCACCTCCCCGTCCCGACGATTTCTCCGATCGCTCGCCGCTCGGCGGTTTTTGCTAGCCACTTCCCGACAACCCCATTAATATGGCCGAATGGCCGCCGGCCGCGTGAATCCGAACCACCCGATGAATCGGATTAGCCCTAATGCCACGATTTCCCGCACGGCTAATCACAATTGTCTTCATGTCCGCCGACATCTGTAAAAAGCGGCCTTCCCACAGAGATGTGACTGTTTGGTCGGAGCCTGCGGAGCGTGAACGGCTGCTGGAACACAACCTCGGATCATGTTTGACGAGTGCCGTAACGACCGCTTGAACCCCTGAGGCCACACGTCTTACTGCCCGTGTCGTCATCGAACGCGTCACCCGGCGCGTGTAGCCGAGGGCGTGCCATGACGTCATGTTGACATGCCGACTAGCAGGGTGGCGCCCGGGCGTTCCGCCGTTCCCCAGCCCTCCCGCCGTCCGTAGTCACCAGCCAGTCGCCCAGTCACAGCCGGCCTGACCGGGGCAGTGAGCAGCAACAGACGGCCGGGCACCACAGACGGTCGGGCACCGAGCCGTCAGGCCGCGCGCCATGGTTGGCCAGGGCTCTTTTGATTGCGCGAGCCGAACCTGAAAGATCGGTTCCGCAGTGGCGGTCGCAGACTAAACTGTTTACCGGCCGTCCTGAGCGCTGTCACGCCGTCAAAGCCTGCGGGCGTTTGTGGGCGCCGGTGGAGATAGGCCGCCTGCCGGCCGCTGACACGCGCGGGCGCAGACCGCTCTGTCCTGTCCTGGGCTGCCTGCCGGCCGTTGACACACGTGGGCGCAGAGCGCTCTGTCCTGTCCTGGGCTGACCGCCGGCCGTTGACACACGTGGGCGCAGACCGCTCTGTCCTGTCCTGGGCCGCCTGCCGGCCGCTGACATACGTGGGCGCAGACCTCTCTGTCCTGTCCTGGGCTCCCCGCCGGCCATTGACACGCGTGGGCGGAGCCTGCTCTGTCCTGTCCCGGGCTGCCTGCCGGCCGCCGACACGCGTGGGTATGTGCTGTCCTGCAGGCTGGGACGCGGCGACTGAGGCCGGTCTCACTCAGCGCAGGGGCGCAGAGCACGCAGGCCGGACACGGAGCTGACAGGCCATGAGGAGCACACAGGCCAGACACGGAGCTGACAGGCCATGAGGAGCACGCAGGCCAGACACGGAGCTGACAGGCCATGAGGAGCACGCAGGCCAGACACGGAGCTGACAGGCCATGAGGAGCACACAGGCCAGACACGGAGCTGACAGGCCATGAGGAGCACGCAGGCCAGACACGGAGCTGACAGGCCATGAGGAGCACACAGGCCAGACACGGAGCTGACAGGCCATGAGGAGCACACAGGCCAGACACGGAGCTGACACACGGATGGAAGGCTGCGATCTGGGGCGCCCCCCTCAGCCGGCCGGCCGGCGCTGCTCAGCCGGTGCTTGGATCGCGCTCCGGGCAGCATCTCTCCTACACCCTTGTTACCGGTGTTCATTTACGGAGATCAGACGAGGCCGTCGGGCGGGCCATGCTGTCCTCTCGAACGAAGATAGGACGCACTGCTGACGCAGCCTCCGAGGTCACGCGCCTCTGTGCTGCCTTAGAACGCGCAGAAGTGCTATTGAGGTGCTTTGGACAAGCCGTCCAGCTTGGGGCGATCTGCATAGCATAGCTGTACATCGCTGTTGTCCACCCACTCCACTGATGAACTGAACTGCGCACAGGGGCGAGGTCCCCCGTCTGAATGCGTCCTCTGAATGCCTCCCAGATGCAAACTGATAAGGTGCCGTCCCCGTACGTTGTGGCAGGTCCAGCCGCGGGCCCGTCTGCCGCGTCCGTTGGCGGCGTCATCGCTGTGTCCTGCAGAGGCCACGCCGTCCGTTAGTCCGTAAGACTGGTCGGGCCGGCTGTCGTCTGTGGTGGACTGGCAGTACGCGCTGTGTGACAGGGATCAGCCGCGTATCAAGGCCTGGCCCGACACTGAGGAGGCGGCAGTCGGCCCGGCGCTGGCCCACGCCGACTGACACTGCGGCGGCGCGCCGTCTGACGTGAGGCCCAGTCGGCTGGCGCTGGCCCATGCCGACTGACACTGCGGCGGTGCGCCGTCTGACGTGAGGTCCAGTGGGCTGGCGCTGGCCCATGCCGACTGACACTGCGGCGGTGCGCCGTCTGACGTGAGGTCCAGTGGGCGGGCGCTGGCCCATGCCGACTGACACTGCGGCGGTGCGCCGTCTGACGTGAGGTCCAGTGGGCTGGCGCGGGCCCATGCCGACTGACACTGCGGCGGTGCGCCGTCTGACGTGAGGCCCAGTGGGCTGGCGCTGGCCCATGCCGACTGACACTGCGGCGGTGCGCCGTCTGACGTGAGGTCCAATGGGCTGGCGCTGGCCCATGCCGACTGACACTGCGGCGGTGTGCCGTCTGACGTGAGGTCCAATGGGCGGGCGCTGGCCCATGCCGACTGACACTGCGGCGGTGCGCCGTCTGACATGAGGCTCAGTGGGCTGGCGCTGGCCCATGCCGACTGACACTGCGGCGGTGCGCCGTCTGACGTGAGGCCCAGTGGGCTGGCGCTGGCCCATGCCGACTGACACTGCGGCGGTGCGCCGTCTGACGTGAGGCCCAGTCGGCTGGCGCTGGCGACGGCAACGGCTGATCACTGGAATATGACCGATAAACACCTCTCCACCCCACATCTCTAATCCGTGGCAGGTGCGGACAGGTGGCCCGCGGTATCGAGCGGCTCAGCTCGGAGGGCTGGCTCGGGTAGACGGCGAAGCTTCACAGAAGGGCATCGGTTTAAGAACTAGGATTTTATCTACCCCGAATAGATCGCATTAGTTGTGTACAGCTGTGGTCTGACGCCGTATCTCTGTCGCCGGCAGGTGGAGCAGAGCTGACCCCCTGCCTTCGCCCTGCGCCGCCGGCCCGGCTCAACGACATGCCCTCGTGGTAACCGGCTGACGGCGCGCGCCGTGACCTCACGACCTATCAGTGACCCGGCCAGTGAACCCGGCCGGCGCAGCGTGACCTGTGCCCCGCCGCTGCCATGTCGTTCCACCAGCCCGGCGGCGACGTCTGGGTGCAGTGGTTCAAGTGCTGTGTGACGCCCCAGGTGCCACAGGTGAGTCCGCGCGCGCGCGCGCGCCCGTCGCCGACGGCTGGCGTGGCGCCGCTCGCCCGCCCGCTGTCACGCAGCGCCGATCGTGACGTCATCGCTTTTGAATCAAGCCCTCGGGCGTGTGTGACGGCGGAGTGACTATCCCAGCTCTCCGACGGAATGTGTGCGCTGTGTAGCGAGCGTCGCCGGCTGGGCCGCAGCCGTTCGTCACGTGAGCGGTGACCGCGGTACCGTGCGCCGCGAACTGTTGGCTGTTGGCTGGCGGCTCGGCTGTCGGGATGGTGCCTTCTGTACTAGCCCGTCCACGGCTCGTACCTCCACTCGTGACCGGGCTGCTCGTCTGAGGCGCCGCCCCCGGGGCCGGCGCCTTTCACGTCTGTCGAAATCATGCACGGGCGCGTCCGTCCCCAGCCGTCCGCTCGACCGTGACGTCGGCGTACAGCCGTGCCGTGCCCTCCCCCGGGTCGCACTGGTCCGCTGTCTTTCTGTCTCCGGGGAGACAACTGACACTTTTGATGGCCAGTCGGGCCAGTCTAGAACTGCGGCAGCGGTTACTCATCGCCCCAACCCCGTTATGGAATATTTTTGCTAAGCTCGATATGGTCGCGATCATATGCGCGCGCCAGGCACGTAAATCACCTAACTGCTCGTGGCTCACACGGCTGAGTTCTGGCCAGACAACTGCCCCAGATTGGTGGTCAACTTAGGCTCCTCGCCCTCGGTATGCTGCCGGCACATTCGCGGCGGTGCCTGCCTCCCAGGCGGCGATCTCCCGTCACAGACTGTCTGCCCGTCGTCGGCGTGTGCCGCCACCCCCGTCCTCTTGCAGCCGACGCTATTTCCAGCGGCGCCGGCGGCGGTCGTGGCGGTGACGCGTACTGTGCGAACTGGGTCAGCGCACGCCGCGCGGCGCGGTGGCAGATGCCTCCCCCCCCCTCGCCGGCGGCGGACGGCGACTCTTGTGTGACTCGGCCGGGCAGCTGGCTGGGCGGGGAGGGTAATGGCATTGCCCGACCGGCATCGCACAATGGCGGCGCTGGCGGCCGACGGGCGCGGCCCGGTGCTGCACGCTGCGGGCGGGAGAGGGGCTGCCGGCGGCCAGCAGAGGGGCTGCCGGCGACCGGCGGAGCGCAGCCTGGTGCTGCCCGCTGAGAGAGGATTCGTGCGAACAGTGAAAGGGCTGGAGGGTCATAACTGGAGCTTATTATTCGGATTTGTATGATCCGTATGCATTCGAATCTTGCAAATCAGCCAATCCTTAAAAACGGGGATTCGACTCCTGAAGTTGGAGAGTCGAATCCTAACCCTTCCATCGAGCTCTGGAAGCCATTTGAATACGCCATTAAATGTATTGAATGGACAGAATGTGACCTGTGGTCACAGTTTCTTCAAATAAACTAAATACCACACGCTCAGATATTCATTCTGCATGGGACTTCTTGACTCTATGAGTTTGCATTAAGGTCTGGATGTAAAGTTCGAGTACATTCTAATCCAATGCATGTGCCCTACGTTCCAAATCCCAGAAGGCTCTCCTGCTCTACGTTATAGCGCTGAAATCTGGTATATTTAGCTGGAGAACACAGCCCATCGCCAAGTCTGCAGCTCTGATTACAGAACGCAGCATTCTGGCTTATCTGGCATCCGCAGTCCCAAGTAAACGTGACGAACCCCGCTTCAGGCGCGTCCGGGGGCGATAACTCATCATCTGTCGGGCTCGGGCGGCTGCTTTGTTCGCCCGCTTAGCACAATCCATTGGCGTCCCGTCAGTCGGTGGCGGAAGTATTGCTCAGCGTGGGGTCGAGCGGAGGGGACCGAGTTAAATCGAGAGGAAGGAAGCAGCACCCTCGTTTATTACACTACCCGGCGGACATTGGGTAATTAGCATCAGGGTAATGTACCGATTCTGCGCCAAGGGAACAAAACTAGGGGCTGTAGGTACCAGACGATTCAAGTGTTGCAGTTATGAGCCAGAACAGTGTCTGGCATTTAATTCGCATTCACTTTGCGTTCAGTGCGTACCTTTCGCCTTAATCCCCGTGATGGTTGGTGGGTTTATGCTGACCAAGCCTCAAGCAGTGTGTAAGGCTGGGACCTTTGCGAACCGCGACGAGCTTCGCACGCATACAAAGTAGCCAGGCAAGAACGGAGACCCGGGTTAGTGCTGCCGTGCTCCCAGGCAATGAGACTTCGTTACAGTATTTCTTTATTAGCAGTTCATGGTCTTGTCATGTCTGAGCAGGGAACACCAGCGCACTTTGAGCTGATTTGCGGGCGCTGCCGGCCACAAGTTTCGCACTGGGGCAGCCGGTGGCCTCCGAACGACCACGGCAACCCTGCCGTCTCCCACCCGCTCCCATCGGGCCTACCAGCTGCAGGCGGGCCTACTCACGGCTCTATGACCCTCCGCGTGTCCACGCACCGCCACCGCCGCGTCTGTCGCGCGTCGCGCTCGCCGCGCTGGCGCGTTGTGCGTCGCTTTCGCCAATCTGCGGTGGATGCGGATAGATGCGTCGCGTCGCCGCCGGTGAAACGGCGCGTCCGGACGCGGTGGCGCGATGCGCTGACGGGGGGGGGGGGGGGGGGGGCAGCGGCCGTGACCCGCGCGTGGCGAGGTCTGGCGCCCCGCAGGACACGCAACGTAACTGGGTGAAGGCGGCTGGTCCGGCACGATGTGCGTCATCAACGGCAACGGAGGACTGGGGCGTCCATAACAGGGGCTGTCGAAGAAAGGCGACGTGTTTTGAAGTAAGTGCTGCAGTCCTTATGATTATGTGAAAATTGAAACATTTGATACACTCTCTCAAATTAAACGTTGTTCCAATGTTTGTAGATTTGCTTGCGTAGGTGATCATGCGTTTGCACGTGCTCTCAATTGCTGTCATCAGTTTTGCATATTATGGTTATTAAACACTGATCCCGATATTAGAATATCGGTTTAGGGCCAATGCCCATCAAGTTAAAGAGAATGCTCCACATTTTATGATATTGAAGCAAGCAGAAGATATGATGAAATTAACTCACTTAAATCGTTGGTTTACCTTTAAATGGAAAAGACTGCTGAAGGCAACACGATTTCTCTGTTTTGTAAATATGCTCCTCGATGCGTCATTGTTTGATTACATCATCGTACCTTGTACAACATTGCCTGGAAGCCGATTGACGGCCGTTATATCTGGAAACCGTGCGCACGAACGCCAGATATGAACGACTCGACACTTATATTTTGTTTCGCCTCGATCGCCGCTTGGCTACTAGAATGGTAGTATTTGAATGGCGTTACTATGTTGTCATGGATTCCTTGGTGACCTTAAAATAGTCTGCCCCGAAGAAGTCTGCACATCTTCGCGAGTGTGTAGCTTAGAAACTTAAGGGGTTTAGGTCTTAAGGAGTGAGTGCAGAGGGATTGCAGAGCAGTGAACTGCACGGAATTGCCTTCAAGATGGCCATTTCAGTTTAAAACACCGAAGAAATGTAGAACCCTCCCTTAAAGCTAGCGATAAATGCTACCAGCACGGACCAGCTCGGAGGCGCAGCGGGTTAGTGCGCGTTCCAAGATGGGTGGGAGGTCTTTTTATGAAGTCTGGCGTCGGTAGGCTTCTCCTAGACCGGCTCCCGTGTAAGAGATGGCAGCAACTGGAGGGCGACCGCCCTCTAGCCATGAACGGCCCGCCAGTCAGCGCCGGTGCCGGTGAGCTCACATGGCGACAGACCCTTTGTCGTCGGACCTGACCATAGTGCGCGGCATCGCTCTGGGCCACCGGGGCGCTCCTCTGACCGCCGGGCCCGACAGGCACGTTGTGCGCATGCGTAATGCAGCAGCATCCTGACAGCAAGGAAGTGCATGGCTGCCCCGCAAGGGTGCCGACTAAAAAAGAAGGAACCTCTGCGCTGTTGAGTGTACAACGTGCGTGTCCAGTTAAATGCATGCAAGCATGCTACCAGCGTCGAGCATTGTGTCATTAATTTACGAAATAGATGGATGAATAAGTCGGGTGGTGTGTTGGAGACGACTGGTAGGCGCTTCTATCAATGACGTGCGCGTCCACCGGCCTGTCCGCATTGTTCTGGGTGCCCTCCCTTGTATATGGAACTGATGGCACTCCTTCCGAACCCAGGGAGACGAGACAATAGTCATGCTCCTTGTCCATGTCGGTGGTGCGAACGTCCGCCCTCTGGCGCACGGGGCGAAAGGATTCACCCGTGGCGGGCACCCTTCTGGCACACGAAGAGAGCGGACGTGACCCCAATGGTGCGCTGATGGACGGGTGGCACCAGCGCGGGGTCACGCGGCGCGCGCGGCCCGGTCGGAAGCAGGCCGATAGCGCCAGCGTGGAAAGTTGACCGATCTGCCTCTGTTTGGCCAGGGGTCGTGCCGCCACGGGCCCCGGCTCTGTTTGTGATGAGATTGGATTGTTTGCGCCTCGGTGAGACCCGGTCGACTGACGGCGCTGCTGTTGAAGAATGGCGCCACGCCGCCATGGAGTAATGAACGTGTCAAACCACTCATTATTGTTGCCTCATATTTGGTGTGAATGATTTAAGAGGCAAGATTAGGTCGTGGTCTATGCACGAGGCATAGATTACACACAAAACCAGACCGTTCTGCGCTCTCCTCCGCGATGACATTTGTAATTCGACGCTGTTGCCATGGCTATTTTCGCTGCCTGCAATGATGAAAACGCCGTTATTTTTAGTTTTTTTATCCAAAACAAGACGTCTTTCCTGGATGGTTCCCAGCTACACCGGGCAAATTTTTCCAGCCAGGCACTGCACTGTCTTTCCTATGTGGCCCACCGGCGCGTAAGCCTGTAGCTTAGGTGATATGAAGGATTCTGCACTCAGTGTGCGGACGATTGGCACAGCTGCCGCTCGGCCCGTGCAGTTACACTTCACTTCCTTGGCAGGCTGGATGGAGCCCAGTAAAGTGGACGCTTATTAATGATCTACGAAATAAGTAGTCCAGTTGCAGCCAAGCTTTCTGTAAATGTGAGGAGCTTCGT